GAAGTATTTTGATAAGCCTTGTGGTGTGGAAGCAACACTTCTTCATACAAATTCCTTTATAATAAATTATTTATATAAAGAAGTAAAAGTTTATGACTGTACAACCTTTAAAAAAACAACATTTCTTGTTTGCTTGGAATTATTTTTTTTTTCTAAATAAGTGGGGGAAATCTCTTGGCAAAATCCCTTTGGTGTGGGTTGTGAGCACTGAGTATTCTGGGTATGGAACTGAGCATTCTGGGCACCATCTCCGCTCTCCAATCCAGCAATGTCCGGCGGTTGAGTTGGAGTGGAAAGATAAAAATAAAAATGGGAACTCGATTGAAATTTTGCACTGCAGTAGCTTTTTGCCACACAACATCTTATACATGCATATTTTCTCTTCCACACTCACTTTCTTCTTCTAATGGTTGCCATGTGTAACTGCTACTTAACACTGTTTTTTTTTTTTTTAAATGGGGGGGTGAAGGGGGGGGAAGAAATCTGTTTTGTCTCTTTCTTCTATCTTCTGATGTGGTTTTTGATTTGTAGATGGTGTGCCCAAAAAAGAAACTTGGAGTGAGGGCAAGAGAAACCAGCCCCAAAATACAAGCCCAGTGGGTTCCAGCTGAATTGCCCTGTGGCACCAGCACTGTTTAATTGTGAACCGATGTATGCATCGTGTTCTAAACCCTTCAATGACTGACTGTGGTGTATTTTTTTTTTCTTTTGTGCTAGCATTTCACGCCTATGGAAAAGCAGGGAAGATGCTGGTGGAGACCAGGTAATGTGCTATCTATTGAACACCTGTTCTCCATGCCCTCATGACTGTGGTCTGGCGTAGTGCTCCTGTCTCTTATCCTCCTGCTTCCTGCAATCCTTCCTGGCCACCTAAGCTTAGATAATAAGTAAAGCCACTTGGACTGGACCTCATTTTCATCTCTGTGCATCTGTTTTACATAAGATGCTTATTAAGCTTCCTTTGCACCCCTTTTTCCAAGTGGGAGAGCATGCTCAGTTGTTCGTGAGACCTCGGGCATCTGGAGGCCTCAGCCTCGCCCCCTGTTCTGCCCACGCTCTTTGGGAAACCTGGGGTGAGAGTGCTTCGCAGCCTGCCTTTTAGAGGTGCTAAACTTGGCTAAACTGCCAAAGTCCTTGTGGAAGCCAGTGGAGGCAGGTGTATTCAGTACCCCTGCATATCAGTCCTTAGATTTCCTGCGTGCCTTGCATTCCCTGCTGGCTAACACTGCTTTGTTGCTTGGAATGCAAGTTAATAATTGTATATTTGGGGAGGGTGAGCAGAAATCCTGAGTTATTTAAGGCTAATGCAGGGCTTTCTTGTGGGCTGTAACGTGTCTATTCTTAAAAGTGCTGTATGCAGCCGTTGAAAGGCTGTGTGGGCAGTGTTGAGGAAACCTACAGCAACCTGGTTTAACTGTCCCAGGTGGGGTGGTTGAGTAGAGGTTCTCAGGCTGAGGTCTTTCAAGATCTGACTGGTCAGATGGTGCTGACTTCTCTCTGTGTTCTCAGCTGCTGAATGGTTGTAAGCAACAGCTAAAAATACACAAAAAAGTTTTCTAATTTTGCTTTCCGTGCAAGCAATTGGTGTCATTGCCACAGGGATGTTGTACCATCGGAAATGTCAGGGGAAGCGGTCCATGCAACCATGGATGGGAGGGGAAGTGGTTCACGAGACAGTCTCTTCATTAAAATGTGGTCTGTGTTGTGAAAAGCACTGGAGAACCTCTGCTCTGCAGTGGAGGCTTGTAACCCAGCCTCTGTGTGCTGGGGCGGAGGGGTCTGTTCTCCAGGGCTGAGTGCTGCTTTGACCTGATTGTTGGGAAAGCGCTGGCAGAGGTTGCCATCTCCAGACAGCAATTAAATCAGCACGCCTGCTGTGAGCAGAACCCCCTCTTTGCTGACTTGCAAAGATGCTGCACGTGGCAGTGAACTGAGTAGTACCGCTTTGGGTTTCGCTCTGCTAGAATCAAATGAGAAAAGATAAAATGGTTGAGAGAGAGAACTTGTTTTCAGGCTTGCGAAAGGACAGAGTCTCCCATGAGAGCCAGGCAGGCGGGCCTCTGCCACTGCATGCAGCCCCCCTGGGTTTTCTCAGTCTGCAAAACTCAGGGCTTGTCTTCGCAAGGATGCTCAGAAAGTCGAAGCTGAATTAACCAAAGCAGCGAAGTCCAAGTGTATTAGTTCGAGAGCATTACCTTCCTGGGTGGACACCCCCATCCAGAAGCAAGCAGGAATAAAGCCAGGATATTAATGCGCTTCAAAATCCTACCAGTTGTTAATTTAGCTTAGCTTGCGTGAAGGCTGTGGTATAGAACTGACCTTAGTGAAACAGCTTCTAGCAGTTCCACTCTGTCCCAGGTGACTTCTCCCCTTCATAGCCCTCATCTGTCCTAAGTATCCTTCTTGATTTTCCACTTGTTGTAGCAACAGCAGGGGCTGTCATACAGACCAGGAGTTGGTGGCATCTGGCACTTTAACCATGGGCACCATGGGAGCAGGGTAGACAGAATAACATGGCCCATGCCAGCATCTTGTGGGGGCCACCACTACCACCAGCACTTCTGATAACTATAGGAGACATTCTAAGAGAAGTCTCACGTTCACCTAATCATAGCACAGCCTCCCTAACACTCATCTTCCAGGAATGCAGCAGGGATTGTACCTGGGAAGCAGCATGTGCTGCATTTGATGGGAATTCCCTCTTTCCATGTGGAATCAAGATTTCAGCCTCCTAATGCACATATCTTTGCTTTGCAGCATGATTGGGCTCATGCTGGGAACCTGCATTGCTTTCTATGTCGTCATTGGGGATTTGGGATCCAACTTCTTTGCCCAGTTGCTTGGGCTTCAGGTAAGCCTCGTCTCCCTGTGGCATTGGTACAGGACAATACTCTGATGTATTGCCAGCTTGGTACATTGTGCTGAGCATGTGTGATGACAGGGTGAAGAGTATCATCACGTTGACCGTGTGTTCAAGATCCAGCCGAGTCATTTAGTACTTCACTTTAAAACCTGATGGCAAGTTTCTTGAGTGTCTTGCCTGATGAATCCTGGAGCCTGGCACAGCAGGATGTGGAAAACTGTGTACAAGAAATAGCAATTGCAGCAAGTCAGACCTTTGTAAACTAGTCAGTGTGGTGACTTGTGTGGCCCAGTGCAGCTCCCACAGGCGTTTTCTATGGGAGCTGGTGTTTTCCACCCCCTTCCCATAGTTGTTCTGTTCAAACCATCATCCCACTTTGTGCTCTTGTCCATAATCCTCCTCTTGCCCCTGAACTTATCCTTCCACTTGACTATCCCAACACTGGCTGTTCCAAGGCTGTCCCTCCTCTCTGATCATAGTGCTGTGTGCCAAGGAGCAATCCATGGTTGCTGGAGCTGGAGGAGGGGACAGGCCAGGGAAGCTAAATGGACATGTGGCTTGGCTGTTATCTTCTCCAGCCTGATGCTGTTAAGCTCTGATTAAGGGACTGTGACGTTAGAAGATGCTTCGTGGCCGCAGCCAAATTAGGTATTAAATATTTCCAAGCATTTCAGAGTGTTCTGCTATAATAAATACCAATATGAGGTTCTGATTAATTTTCTGATCCATGTTTCCAGGGCTGCCATTTCTTTCTCCTTGGTGGCTTTTATTTTTTGAAGCTAGGTTAGTTTTCATCTAATTGCTGGAGATGCATAAAAATATTCCAGTGGCCGGTGCTTGGATTACCATTTAAAACACCCCAGCAAATCTCCTGCTGAAGACTGGCTTTGTCACGCGCTCTGCAGAGCAACAGTGGCACCCAGTGACTGCAGGAGCTAATCACAGATCGAATGAGGCAGCTGCGGAGTTTCTAGCTCTGAACTGTTTCTTCTCCTCTGCTTTTTAAGAGGAGGCAGGCGGAACTTCCAATTTCGCGGCCTCTTCCACTGGCTTTGTCTCGTTCTTGGGGATGAAAAGCTCTTTCTGTCAGTCCAAGCCCATGAATTCTGGCTGCTTGACTCTGCGAGGCTTTCTGGGCACGCTGTGCTGCTCTTCCTTACATTGGCCCTTTTTCAGGTAACTGGCAGCTTCCGGATAGTCCTGCTCTTTGTCGTCTCCTTGTGTATCGTGCTGCCATTGAGCCTACAGAGGAACATGATGGCTTCCATACAGTCGTTCAGCGCCATGGCGCTGATCTTCTACACGGTGTTCATGTTTGTGGTGAGTACTAAAGGCAGGAGGCTTTGTTTCCGTAGCTGCAGTGGGGAGGAGGGAAACAGTGAGTGGCTAATCCGTCTAGAGGGACACCCCAGTGCAGATGAAGGTACCAATACCACGGGCTGTTTGTTATGGGTGACAGGCTTGTCGGGAAGTCCAGCAGATCTCCGTGTAAGCAGAGGATTAGTCCCTGAGAACAGGTTGCAGGTTCTGCACCCCGGTTTGGAATCCTTACTTACAAATCGCTGCTTGTGCCCGGCATAGCTGCGACCAGGCTGTCCACACACACTGAAGCACGTGGAGGTGAGAAATTGCAGCCAAACAGTGGCGAAACTGGCCAGTGGGTCTGTCAGCACAGAGAGGTCTGTGTGTGACTTCACCATGTTGTGGCCTGTGCTACCTTTTCCACTCACTAGTGCTTGCCGTTGATAGCATCCAAAGCATTTATTAAATAGAGGGATGGGAGACAGGGTAATGGTGTGCTGCACAGAGGGGAGAGCTGTAATCTGATAGGGTTTTGCCATAAGAGACCCGAAGCACAGGCTTTTTGCACTAAGCGGTTATTGTTAAAGGCATAGGTGCTATTCTGATTTGCGTCCATTTTTAATACTGATATTAAACGTCATTCAGGCACTGAGTGTTTTTCTTTCTAAATGACAGTACTGAAATGATAAACCTGTTGGTGAGGGCTCAAATGCACAGCCTTGGCAAAGGAAACTTTCTTTTACGTATTATTATTACTATTTTGGCCTTCTGAAAGTGCTTTGCTGGCTGAGAAACTGGTGCACAACCAGCTTGGTTAAGTGGGACTGTCTGAGTTTCCAGAGCTCCCTGTGTTTAACAGAGATGTTTTCATTCAGTTCTCTTGCTTTGGTTTTCACCTAACAGTCTCTGCTCTTGTTAGCCCCAGGGGCTCAAAAACCATGGTTCAGATCTCCCCCAAAATCAAAGCGAAACGGAGAAAGTGTTCTTAATTTTTCTTCTTGCTTTAGAGCAGCTGGGTTGCACTCGGGCCACGTTTCTAAGCTTGGGCTCTATAACCAAGAGGGCTGACAGCTTCATTTTAAAGAAGAAAATTACAGCTGTGGGTCTCTTAGAATCGTCGTGTTCCAGGAGCTTTCCTGGGACTTTTCCCACACTGGGATGGGCTCTCTAGGAATTCCAAGGTTTTTTCAGCCTGTATATTACTAGGCTCTTAGACGCATTTACCTGTTGTTTCCTTTGCAGTCTAACACGTGCCAGCTCCCTTGGGGTGACAGAATAGCTCTCATAACCCTGCTCCTGCCACCTTCTTCTGCTTGCTCCCCCGATCTGTTTCCTCACCCTCAGGGAAGTTATGTAGGATCCAAAGCATTGGAAATCCTCAGGGCTCATCTAGTTCAGCCCCTCCACCAGTGCAGGGCATGCTGTTCCTTTCTCATCCTAGATGCATACACAGCCCGCACTCAAAAATGTGAGCTGCATGTTCCCTTGTCCTGCTGCTCCTGCAGTAAGGAAGGCTTTCCTGGGATTTGATTTAATTCTTCCTTGCTGCAGTTTAACCCTGCTGGCTGTCTGCAGCAAGGGTGAAGATGCTATCTGTGTGGAGAAATATTGGGAATGCCTCGAGCTGGTGGTTGGACAGACCTGTTGGGGGTCAGGTCCTACTTGGAAGTACCTTTGCCTGCTGCCTGTCAGTAGTACTCTGCGGTCAGGACCTGCTCTGTACCATGGGGTTAATGCTGTGTGTGTGTTTGTACACAAGATGGTACCTAATGGCAGGGTGGCTTCACTCAAGGGAGATTATGATTCCCCTTTTTATGAGCTTGGCAGTGGCAGGTGATCCCAACAGATGGTTTCATAGTTGGGAGCTGGATAAAATCTTGTTCAAGGTGGAGGAAGTGGAAGCCAGGAGACCTTAGGAACAAATCCGTAGTTGCAATATGCAGCACAAGCTGGTCACAGCCTCATTGCCTGCCTCAGAGCTGCTGGGCCCCTGCTCTTTGTCACCGTGTAAGGGAAGTTGCTGTTATCCCGATCCCATGGCTGACATCTGTCTGCGCAGTGTCTGCCCTTTGGATTTAACTCCTTTTCTCTCTCTTGGCTGCAGATTGTGCTCTCGTCTTTCAAGCATGGCCTCTTCAGTGGGCAGTGGCTGAAGCGGGTCAGTTATGCACGCTGGGAGGGCATTTTTCGCTGCATTCCCATCTTCGGCATGTCCTTTGCGTGTCAGTCGTAAGTACCTGCAGTTCTCCCTTTGGGCTGTTGCAATGGGGAAGGAGTTGTGTGAGGACAGAGGGTCATGGGGGACCTGGGTGGGATGGCTACCATCTGGTTCCCCTTTTAATTTTAATCAGAATATTTTACAGCCTGCTGGAATATCACATCTCATTCTGTGGCGACCCTTCGGTTACCTAGGGTGGGCGGGAGTTATATTTCACTCGCGAGTTATTGTACTTCAGCTACGTAAAATGATTTGGGCCAAATGAATCCCTAGTGTCACTTCTGTTTGATTTCAGGGGAGTTGGATCAGGGATCAGCTTGACCTGCTATTCTGAAAGGGATGATTTCATAGCCAGGTTAGCAGCTTGGTGGTGTCAGTCCTACCCCCCAACAGGGTAATCTACGTGCATGGCTCTAGGGAGCCTCACCAAATTTAGCTGAGAACCTTTGACAGGAAATTGCATCTCAGTGTACTCGAGCCAGTTGCTAGCATGTTACCCAGTCACCTGCTTTGAACGGGCGTGCTTTTGGCACCAGGAGCTATGTGACTGCAGTCCTGGCTGCTCCCCCGATCTAGGCAGTGTTACCTTCTCCACCAGAATGACAGGAATGAGTGATTCATGCCTGGTCCCAGTGGTAACCAACCCAAAATAGAGGTGTAAATCTGAACAGGGACGCGGAAAGGACTGCCTGCTGGAGGGCCACTGGCAGAGCTGGACTTCCCCTGCAGCTCCAGCACCCGTGGAGCACGCCAGTAACACATTAACGTCATGAAGAAAATTTGTTCGCGCTTCTGTGTTTTTACCCACTGGCGAGATCCAAATCATCCGTTCCCACTTCCCCTCTCTCTTGGCAGCATTGTTTCTACCAGAACATGCTTGAGTCTTGCTGTTTTATGTCTTCATTACCATTGGTGGCAGAAGTTTTATCATCTCGCAGCGTTACTTAGTGAATGTTGGAGGGCTTTTTTTTTTTAAACTCCAGAACGGTCTTTCTCTTGCGGTAGCCACGCGGTAACCAACGTACGTTTGATGGGAGTTGGAAACACAGGAAAATGAGCTTGGTCTGGCTGAGTATGCACACATCTAAATATAGTTTCTGCTACACCACTGACGTGGCAAGCCAAACCTTAAGTTATATATTTTTTTTCCAGGCAGCAGAATAACATGTTGTCCCTAGCCTGGGAGATGCCAGGAGCATGTTATTCTCTAAGGGCATCTAATTCTGCTGCCCTCCCAATCACCACTTTTAAAAAGAAGTAATTCTAACTGTGAAAAACCTGCCCAAAACTGTGTCGCCTCAGAATGTGGTGGTGGTGACAAGGAGAACACACCATTCTTCTTCCTCGGCTCAAGCACATGATGATATTTGACTTGTGGATTTGGTTCCCTCTGCCCTTTTGAAAGCTACGTTGATGCCACTGATCTCAGAGAAGCATCCTAATTTCCACCACCATGAGCTTGGTTAGGGGGGCCAAAACCAGGTGCATTGGGCTTCAGATGCTTGGTCTGTCCCAGCCTGCCCACATGACTTAAACTTCTGTGCCTCAGTTTCCTGATAGGTAAAAGTGTTTTGGAGGAGGATTGTGGGCTTCTGGGATAATGTGACCCACACTTCGTGTCTTGCTCACGGCCTAGATTTTGATTCTGGGGCTGCTGGTCAGAATTACTGTGGCACCAGTATAACCAAAATTAGAACGTGATGCCTTGCTGACCATGGGTTTGGAGGGATACAGAAAGCCAGAATCAGAACTGAGCCTCCAGTGTGGTCTATGGGTGTCAAAGCACTCGGCAGCATCAGATAAGAACTGACCCATAACTTGCTCTCATCCTTTGATGACATGCTACCACGGCCATCTTGCAAATGCTGCGATACACACTGCTGGTCCGTGCTCTGTGCGCAGAAATAGTACAGGAGAGAGGCGTAACCATGGAGATGAAAATATCAATTAACAGCCCTGGAGGTAGTTTGGTCTCCGCTGGAGCAAGGCTGCGGTTCTCCAGATCAGGCTTCCATGGCTGATGCTGTTTCTCCCTGCCCCCGTCTAGAGAGCAGGGGCGGGTAAAGGGCATGTGGTTTAAATGTCTTTCTCGAGTCCCCTCTGAGGTGTTGGGCTTGCTCAGTTATAGGCGCTGGGGAGAAGCCTAACCAGAGGCACACAGTGCAAGCTTCAGGAGCGGGTGCTGTTTCCTTCGCGGCCAGATCCGGCACGACTGTTCCGGTTTAAAAATAACCAACCCCTGCCCACCGGGACGTGCTCCATGCTGCGTGCGTGGTGTACTCCCACTCGCCCCGCTGGGCTGGCGGCTGGCAAGGGGAGGCACCCCAGGGTGTGGGCAGCCTTCCAAGGATTCTGCAGCTATGCCCAGAAACCCAAGCTGGCAAGCCGGGCGCTGCTCCCTCACAGCCCGGTTGCAGTGCGGTTCCACGTGGCATTCCCTCCTCCACGTGCCGTTCTGTTGCATTGCTGTGGCTCCTGCAGCCCCTGACCTCCGGGTTGTGGCATGCGCTGGAGAAGCCTCACTGTCCCCTCCCTTACCCTCTGCTGGGCCCCCCGCATCTGTTCTGTCTTCTGCTCCTATTTCTGAGCCCATGATGGACAAGGGTCATATAGCAAGACTTTGCTCTTGAGATCAGCATGCGAGAGGCTGAATCCTATGTGGCCCTGCGGGGAAGTCTGCTTCTTCGGGCTGCACACATCCTCAACTAGTGCAGTATTATATATATATGCACACACACACAATATTTCCTGCAGGCATCTCAAAAAGCAGCCTAAAATAACAGCCGCTCTCCTTCCTGCAGAATTTTGTGGTGCACAAAAGGTTAAGGTTTTTTTCCGCTCAGCCTGTTTGACAGAGCTGGGGATAACCCCTACCCTTCCAGCTGCCCCCCTTCCCCGGTGTACACACTTGCACTCTCTTGGGGCTCTCTTTCACCAGGAGTCTACAGCCAGGATGTGACCACTCAGATTAGAGCAACAAGAGACTAAGGAGTTGCTAAAATATGCACCTGATGTAGCAGTGCCTTCTGCTTGCTTGCCAAATGCCCGCAAATGCCATGTAATGGGTGTTTCCCGCTTTTTATGAACCAGGCTTTCGCAGCAGCGCTGAAATATGACAGGTGCTGTGTTTCGCTGTTTGTTTAACTTTGCTTTGAGACAGTGTGATGCTCTAGCCCTCTTCCTGCTTGTACTCTGTAAACACGGCGTTGCTTTAATTATCAGGGCCGAGAGCTCCAAGAACAATAATCTCCAATGCACTGCCTGGCCCCTTGCCACTGGTGTTTCAGTGGAACAAACGGTCATTCATTCTGCAACGCTTTTGAACTGAAATGTTTACATCACACGTTTAAATCCACGTGGTGGGGGAGGGGGGGGCAGGGGGAGCCTGAATATTTGTGCAACACTTACAATTTGGAGTGTTCCGAAATCTCTTGGCATTAGCAATATAAATTGTGGAATAGCAGCGAGTGTTTATGCTCCAGGGGAGGAAGGTGTCTGGGATTTTTTGCTGCTGGGCTCTAGCAAGGAGCATGCTTGATTTTTGCATATCTCTCTCTCCAGCTTTTTGAAATAGCTCATCTTTTTTTTTCCCATCCCCCACCCCTGTGCAGCCAGGTCTTGCCTACCTACGACAGCTTGGATGAACCGTCTGTTAAAATAATGAGCTCCATATTTGCCTCCTCTCTAAATGTGGTCACCATCTTCTATGTGATGGTAAGAAGCATGGACCTTTCCTTTCTCCTTCGGTTTAACTTGTCTCCTGAAAGTGACTTTCAGGTGCATTTTGTTATAGGGCGGACGGACCATTTTCCCTGCAGGTTTCACTGCTCTCGAAGAAAATGATTCACTTTGCTGAAAGCGAAATCTCCAGGGCAGCTTTTTCCTTTCAGTGCCCGGAGGCATTTGGGGAACCCAGGGCCGTGGAACAATAGGTCCCATTCACCGGAGCTAGAGCAAGTGAGGCCCTCGGTTTTTCCTTCGTCATGTGCAATTGGAAAGGGAGATGCCGACCTCAGAGAGAGCTTCCCCCTTTGCTCATTGCGATGAGAAGGACGCAAAGGAAGTTATGCTTCATAAAACACTAGTTAATAAAATCCAGTTAATAATTCCCAGGACCAACCCCGCCATGTGAGCTGGGCTGCTGGGGGGATTGTATTGCAGCTGCTCCCTTGTCAGAGGGGTCAGGTTCATAGGATTCGGCAGCTATTGCCGCTACATTGCTTGAACCTCCCAAAGGCAGCAGAGCTTAGACCAGGGCAGGCTCTGGGAAAGGGGCTGTACAGGAGTTGCTCCTTAAAGCTGGGCACGTGGGATTCTGAAGTGGCAGTCCTTGTTCTGCAACCACCTGCCCTACTTACAGGTGATGATGGCAGACTCACTGGGGAACCTACATCTGTGGAGGCTGTCTGTTGTCTTCAGCCATTGTCCTGTTGCAGTTGTGTGTTGCAAGCACTGACAAAGCTGCAGCCACTGCCATGAGGCCAAGGGTGATGGAGCCCTCTGTCCTATTCCTTTCACCTACAGGGAATATGCATATGCCAACAGCCCTGCAGCTTACTGCCCTTCTCCCCTCACAGGTTGGCTTCTTTGGCTATGTGAGCTATACGGAGGCTATCGCTGGTAATGTGCTGATGAACTTCCCATCCAACCTGGTGACGGAGATGATCCGTGTGGGGTTCATGATGTCAGTGGCCGTAGGGTTTCCCATGATGATCCTGCCCTGCCGACAGGCTCTGAACACCCTCCTTTTTGAGCAGCAGGTGAGTCCCTGGAGCAGCTGGGAGCTTTGGGTCCTGCTGTAACCAACTTTTCCCTTTCCAAAGGGTCACCTTGATTTAATCTGTTGACTGGTATTTCAGTTACAACACGGTGGAGCCCTTTGCAGCCTCTGCTGGCGACGGCCTCTTTCTGATTAGCAGCCAGGCGTTCATATCCAGAGTGGATGAACCCTCGGCCCCATTCCATTTTATTGCAGCTCCCAGGGAAATTGTAATTGCCTGTTGCATGCTACTAGGGGCAGCGGTAGGAGCACAGCCCAGCTGTCTATACATCTGGCTGCAGAGAAATGCAACTGTTCTCAGTAGTAGCCAATTCACAGCAGCTCTGGGCTCTCCCCTGTGCAGTGGAGCAGCGATCCTCTCTGTGGGCAGAGGTACTGGGGTCTAAAGTCAAAGCCATGCCATTTGCTTTGCCTTTTTCCTCAATAACAATTGTGGGGGCAACGGGTTCCCTGCTCTGGTAGCACTTTGGGAACCTAGATTATGGGAAGTGTCATGGGATGCTCAGTTGAAGCCCTTTTCCCTGATAGGAGTTAGGAGAGGGAGAGCAATCCAGGTAGGAACAGAGAAGAGTCTTGATTTCCTGCTGCTCAGACCTGATCTTTCCATTTTGCTTTGTTTCTGCTTGCTCTCATTCTTCCTCAGCTCTGTAAGGCCCTGAGCAGTCTCCATCTACCTGAGTAACAGACAGTCCCCTCCCTGCATTCATATATCTCTCTGTGACATACAGAGCTTCCTCCTCAGAGCTGTTTTGTGGCTATCTGCTATAGCAACACAGCCCTCTCCTACACTCCTCTCTTCTCCTGGAGTTGGTCCTATAGCCAGGCTGTGGTTGTGCTGCCTGTTTGATTTGGAGCCTCAGAGCCCTGAGGCTTCCTCTGGCTGCTTTGCACTGTGTAATATGCAGTGGGATTCGGTGAATAACAGCAAGGGGCTGTTCTGAGGCCTTTGTGCAGCCGCACAGATAGCAACCTCTTAGGGTGGGAAATGAAAGGCTGCTTCTCCCTCCATGCCCTGCCCCCTGAAGCCCCACAGGATACCTCTTGGATCTTTCCAGTGCTTCAGTGTGCAAGGAGCTCAGGGCCCATGTTGGCAAAAGCAGTAGAAATAGAAGGTTCTGAGTTTGAGTTCTGACTCTGCCTGCGACTGTCCCCTGGCATTCATGTGCACAGCAGGAAAGGCCTTGCCCCCTGCCCTTCCCTGCCTTCCCACCTCCTATGGATTCCTTTGTTAGCGGCTGTCCCATACATTGGACAGGAAACGCTGCTGCACAAGCACTAGAGCTCTGGGGGTGGCAAGGGCAGGAAGTGCCTGCCTGAATTGGGGAGGAACATCACAAACATAAGCCAGCCCAGCTGTAGTGTCCTTCCTGGGGTCAGAGCTGTGGATGCAGGCTGTTGTCTGATAGAAACGGTGTCCAGCTTGCCAAATGTAGCAGCATGGCCTGGTCCCTTCCTGCAGGGGCTGTCGGCTGGTGCACCCTTGCCTTCACCTCCGCTCCCTCTTCTCCTGCACTTGTCTGCTTGGTTTTGCCAAGCAGCTCTGGCATTAGCATTGCCAGAGGCTGTTGTGCAGCGAGTGTTCCCTGCAGGAGGGGAAGCGGCAGCTATGGTGACTTCTGCAGGTTGCAGTTGCTCACTCACATCTAACTGCCCCTGAATGTTCCTGTTAGGAAGGCCACTGCATTGTTGGATGGAATCACCCTGGTTAGAGCCCCGCTCCATTGTGCCTCACTCGTCTAGTACAGGCTGCTGGGGCAGTTGCTTTAGAGACTCGCTGGCATTTAACATGTTGTCTCCTTTTGTTTTCAACAGCAAAAAGATGGCACGTTTGCGGCTGGGGGCTACATGCCGCCCCTCCGGTTCAAAGCCCTCACACTGGCTGTGGTGTTTGGCACCATGGTGGGAGGCATCATGATACCAAATGGTGAGTGCCTGCACGGGGCATGGTGGAATCCAATGCTTGTGGACATTTCTGCATCTGTGTCCTTTCTCCCTGCTGTCTCCCATTTGGGGTGTGCTACAGCCGCTCTGGCGTCGGTAGGGATACCCGGCATTGGTGGCTATAGGTTGTAAAGCCCTGACCAGCACGAGAGCCATGTGAATGCTCCCCACTTATGGCTGTACACAGAGGTGAGAATGCAGAGGTGTATGTGGCCCTGGTAGCAGTGGAACTGGAGCCTTATGTAGAGGGGCAGGTGCAGGGGGGACAGAGGAAACACTGTCTTTCTGAAGGGAAGACCTGGGTAAAAGCAACTACAAGGCAATTGGTAGGCTGTAATGGCCGACAGTCCCTGGCTCCAGCCCCCGGCCCTGCCAGCGGTGGGCTTGCATGGTCTAGTCAGTCGCTGCAGTCTGAGTAACTCCCTTAAGCTCTTTTTTCCTTCCTCCAAGGATTCTGGTTGTTTCAGCTGCTGTTGTTTTCTCTCTCCCATGCCAGTGGAGACCATTTTGGGCCTAACAGGTGCAACAATGGGAAGCCTCATCTGCTTCATCTGCCCGGCTCTAATTTATAAGAAAATTCACAAGAATGCCCTTTGCTCACAGGTCAGTGCTGATGATAATGGACTTCTTTCCCCAGCTCCCCTAGAGCCTGGGAACTTACTTTTAGTGGAACAGGGGGATCACTCAGCCCCTCCCTGCCCCTCTCACTCGCAGGTGGGACGTGGTGTGGTCCAGTAGCAAAGGCAGCCGCTTGCCCAGTAAACAGCCTGCGGTTTTTTAGAGCACCAGTACCTCTTATCACAGCAAGTGTTCTCTTAACACTGAAATGTTGTTTGGGATCCCCGGTCTGAGGAACATCAGGCTGCGCAGCTACAGAACGGGAAATCCAGGCAGCATATAAAACCTGAGCAAGCCTCAGATTTCAGCCTGGCTGGGCTGGGTAAAATAAACACGGTTTCTCCGCAGCGTGGTCCTTGGTGCTGCCCCGCTCCTTTCTGGTTGGAGCCGAAATAATAATAATAATAAAAAGGAACACACACATGGAGGTGTCGGTACAGGAACTGATTTCTAAAAAATTGGGGTCATTCAGAGGCTACTTGTAGCTTAGCTTTTCCTTCACTCTGGTTTTGAATTGACCTCCAAGGGGACCTCAAGTAAAACATCTCTTTTGTGGGGTTTGAGCATTTGTGTTTTGCAAACTGTGTATTTTATGGAGCCCAAACGAAGGTGTGTTGGTTTCCCCTAACAATCACTGAATGCAGGGCCCTTTCGCAGCCTCTGCCTATGCTCCCAGCCCTGTCGGCTGCTACTGTTCTGGGAATAGAGTTGCAGGGAGTTGCCGAGTCAGCAGGGGGAGAACATTTTTGTGGGTCCTACAGAAATAATGGCTTTTTCTGTGTGGAATGACTTGTGGGTTTGTGAAGGCACATGAAGCTTTTGAAGCAGAGCAGATTTTTCTGTCACTTTGCTTCAAGCTCTCTCTGACACGCGGAAACAGTCCAGCTTTCCAGCACCCGCTCTGAATTCTGACACCTCTGGTCCTCACTCCTTTGACTGAAACCCCAGGCACAGGTCTAGACGGCAGCCTGGGTCTGCAGTGGAACAAAGGGCACTTTCAGGAATGGCTTTCTGTTGGGGCTGAGTGGAGCCATCCTCTGCAGCAACGGAAACCGCACTTAGGAGGGGCCAAGCTTGTGGCCCAGTTGCCCTCAGCCCAGCAGTAGGGCTTGAAGGCTGCACAGAGCTTAAATACTGGTCATAAGCTCAGCAAGGCAGTTGGTAGTCTCAAAAATCCCCCCCCATAAGGAACAGCAGCTCATCCTCAGTGGTGGGCCCGTGGGGTACCCTGGCAAGCAGAGAAGCTGGGGAGTTGTGCGACCTGTTCTGGAATGAGCCATCAGCTACCAGGCTGGCACGTTTGTTTTGACCTCCATTGCTGAGTGTTTCAGCAAAGACAGATCTGCCTTTTGGCAAACACACGAGGCTGCAGAACTCCCTCCCGCCTGCCCAGGGAGAGCCGGGTTCTCTGCCCAGCCTTGTTCCAGTTCTGGAAGGCTTGCTTCATTTCTTCCATGAAATTCGCACAAATGTTTCCAGTGAGATGTCCGAGGTCTTTCCTACTCCTCCTCCCTCCTGCTTCCTGCTTGCAGGTCTTCCATCTCGTAGCTAGTTGCAGGGGATTTTCAGCCCATGGAAGATTGTGGGTGTCCTGAGGGACGCCCTAGAATCCAGACCCATTCACTCCAAGGACAGCACGGACTTGAGCTAGAAGCTGGAGAAGTTGGATTAGGAGTTGAGCAGCGTTTTTTTTTTTTTTTCTGAGGGGGCGGGACATCCGCATCCCCAGATGTTTCTGTTCGCCAGCAAAGGGCGTTGGATTCTGCCAGGGAGTTGTTAATTATTACAGACAGCTGGTCAGTCAACAGCTGGCAGCAAGCCAGAGTCTGGGAATTGCAGGGTGGATTAAGCTCCAGGGGTGGTTTAGTTAAAAGGCTTGGTATGTTGGAAAGATGATCAGGTAACAGAGCGACGGGGAAGTTACAGAGCTTAAGGCCGGGCTCAGGGAGACGTGAGCGAACGGGGAAATCCTCCCCTTTGTTGTGGTTGGCAGTGTCGGGCGGGCCCGCTAGAGCATGCAGGTCTGGATCCTGCCTGACATGGAGCAGCGATGGGGTAACTGGGTGGAAAGGTGCCCTGGGGGAGCTGGGGGTTGGGGACAGGCTGAGGTTTGGCACTGAGCTGTCGAAGGTCGGCCCGAGGTCTGTAAACAAAGCACTTTGCTTCTAACAGGAAGGTGTTGGCTGGGCTGTGTTGACACAGGCGTGTTGGAGAGGCCCCTCCTGGGAGCCGCAAGCAGTTGCTGTCCTCCTGGCCTGCACCATAAGGAAAGGGAGACGCCTAACTCCCTGCCCTGTACCTCGCTGTCAGGGTTGCAACATGGCACCCGTCCGGGCTCTGCCTCCGTGCCCCTGGGGGCAGCACCCTTCATCCCATGTGCTGGATGGTGAAGTCCAGCAGGGACCTCGCCTTCCGCCTCTGTCTTTTGATTTGCAATTAGCCTTCTCCCTGCTTCCAAAATGGGGTCCTGTGTGACCTGGAGAAGTGTTTCGGCAGTGTGTGCGGCCCTCTACCGAGTCGCTTTCCCAGCACCTGCTGGGGGTGTCCTGGGACAGCCTGGGCTTCTGTAACGGAGCAGGAGGCTCCTCAGTCGCATTGAGGTGACTTTCAGATTTACCTTGTCCAGTGGAGCCAGCCATGAGGCTGCTCCCCTTCATTGTCATTCCCTGGCAGTCCTCAGCCTGACCCAGTGGTGAGGGGGGAGCAGACAGAGTTCCTTTATACTCATTTAAGTGCTCTTGTGAAGATCTGGTAATTACCCTGTTGGCATTACGGGAAGCCCGAGAAGAGAAATAAATGTCTGTCTTCCTTACATTCCAGCGAGGTCATTGCTACTTGCTGGACTCGGATGTGTCAGCTCCATTACTTTAATGGTTAGTCACCTGCAAAGGGGGGGGTGTTAATAATTAACCCTATAAGAGCAGCACTGCTTAGAACAACTCCATTTCACCTGTGACCTATAATACAGGCCCCTCTCCTGGGGGTCTGTAATGGGGGATTCCAGAAAATGCACTTAACGCAGCAGGGCCTGAGCTTTGGGGGCTGTTGGAGCAGTTCAGCAGTCACTGACCCTAGAAGGAGCCTGTTGTGACTTGAGGGCTCTTCTGTAGGCAGCACGGCCTGGTGGACCTGGGCTCTTGTTGGGATAAGATGTCTTGGTGCCTGCTGGGTTCACTGTTTGTAGGGCACTGTGGCCTTTTTTCCATAGAGCCCTTTTCCCTCCATCTGTCTTGTAGTCAATGGTCCTAGTCTTGTACCCCCAGCTTCCAGCCCCAGCAGGCTGTTCCCATGTTCGTTCATTATGGGGTGGGGGGCTTGGTGGACTGTGGAGCCCCAAGACCTTGTTTATGCACATCGGAGACTTCCTGGTTGTAACAGCAGATTCAGAAATGGTCCCAAAAAGGGACTAGACAAATTCGTGTACAGTGAATCTGTTAGCAGCTATTAAACAGAATGGCCAGAGATGTTTCTTCCAGCATCTCCAAACCGATCATGGCAGATCCCAGGAAGTAACAGGGGATGGATCTCTCTCAACATATTCAGTTAGGTGCTCTCCCTCTGAAGCATCTGCTGTGCCCCGTTGGAGACAGTCTACCGGGCTAGACGTACCATGGGTCTGACTCAGTGTGGCACTGATTATGTTCTTACGGACCTTGGTGTTGGCCTCCTTTATTCTAGTTTCACTGCCCTTCCCTGCTGTGTGTGGCTTATGTCAGGACTGAGAGGTGCCGTCAGGGCTGGCTTGGAATCGTGCTGTCCTCCTTCCCTCCCTTGGGGCAGGGAGGTTAGCCTGGGAGAGCCCAGGCTGATTTTGGGTGTACCGAGATGCAGAGTTGGCTCGCGAACAAACTCCGAGCATTCCCCAGGCCAAGGAGCTTGTGGGATTGGACACAGGGTCCAGGGCTGCGATTAGCCCCCCAGCCTGTTCAGCCTACGGTTCCCACTGAGACCTGGATTTTAAGTAAATACCCCATAAAAGGCTTGAACTTATCAGCTCTTCCTGCAGGCCTGTTTTCTCTCTAGCAGGTCTATTTTGGTGTAGCAGGAACCCTTTTGTGGAAACACTCTTCCTTTCCGCTCCCACTTCTGGAGGCGGGCGGCAGAGGTCTCAAGTCACAGAGCTGGGCTCCTGCAGGGGCGTCAGATGAACTGGAGAAAGGAAATGGCTGGGGTCAGAGGTGAGGGCAGAGTGGGCCAGCTTGCTGACTCCACTTTTGGCAGGAGTTGTGCAGCAGGATATCTGTTCTGACACCCACACGGCCAGGCAGCCACCAGATTCTGCTGCTGCTTCCTCCATAACATCTCTAAGATCTGGCCTTTGCTCTCTGACCATTTGGCTGGAGCTTTTGTCCAGAGTGGCCTCTTCTCCCATCACCTTCCTCCTCACTCAACGTCTGTTCTGGCCCCAGGGATATTTAGACTAGCAGTTTTCTTGGCCCCTGGCCTGACCACAGCTCCCTCCTGCCATTTCTTGGTCCTCCATGGGCTCTCCCTTCACCCCCACATCCAGTTCAAAACCTTTGAAGCTCCTGATGACTGAGACTCCCACCCTACTTAGGTGCTGTGCCTTCGCCCCATTCTAGCCTCCCCACACAATGCCAGGCTCCTTGGCTGTTTTCATCCTGCTTTCCCACAGGCACCCTCATGCCTGCCCCCATGCCGCCGTGAGCAGGAAACGCTTCCCCAGATGAATACGCAAAGCTGCTTCCCTCCTTCAAAGCCTTTTCTCCACACTTCCTTTTACCAGGATGGCAGTGGGAAACTGCCAGCTAGTAGTAGATCTGTAAGTCCCAGCAGGGGCTTCAGACCTTTGAGTGTCTCAGCCATCCAGCTTGGCCCCAGCCTGCATGAACACCTAATCTTCCTGTTTCCCTCTTCCTGCCTTTGTGCACTTCTTACATGTTTGTTATACCCTCTTGTTGCATCTGCTATCTTCAGGCTGGATAGGGACTAGCTCTTCCTCCATGTTTGCTTAGCACTTGAACCGGCCATGCCTGGTTTACCATAGACCTTGGGTGATAATTGCAGTATAAATGAGAATGACCTACATAATCATTCTGCAAGAGGCACTCAGTCCACAGCCTTGTTTCCCTCGGACAGCGGGGAGATGGTTACCACAGAAGTATTTCCTCTGCAATCAAAGACTCTGCCCTGTGGACTTCCTTGTGACATGCCTGTAGCGGTGATGACTTGTCTGGGCTCAGAGCATGCAGACAGCAGCCATGCCTCCAAAAAACTTGCAGACAGCCAGTAGAGCAAGGCCATGGGAGGGCAGCAGCCAGGAAATGTGGCGGATGAGGAATGAAGCTGGCACGTGAAGCCAGAGCATGTCTCGTGAGGGTGGTCTGAAGTTATGACGTGTAGAGGAGGCCTGGTCTGAGCTGTCTGGGCATTTCTGCTTCTGTAGCCAGGGGCACTGAGATGGGCTTGACCTCAGGAAGTGAGGGTAGATAGCCCGCTCCCTTGCTTCTCTTACAAGTGTCCCCACAGCATGGCCTCTACCCAAGGGGCATTTTCTATTTTGCACATAATTGTCCATTCTTTTTCTGTCCCTTTGTGCTGCACTTGCAGGGAGGCAGAGGCCTGTTCTGGGGGCCGTGGTCCCTTCAACCACCCTCCTGCCTCCAACGCCACCTTTCGCCAGCCACTGTGTTGACATGCAGAGAAAGCTCTGCCAGAATCTCTGGCAGGGACAATTATGGTGATTAACTTGGTAAAAATAATACAGCAGAGTTTAATTAAAGCTCCTTCACCATCCACGCTGTCAGCCAACAAACTGTCCGCACAATGCTTTCAACCAGGGCCTCTTCCATTAGGTGGAGCAGCAAGGCGTCTGGCAGTTCCACCGCTCGAGCAAGGCAGATGTGCCCTCTGCCTGTACTGCTGATCACTTCTTATCAGGTAGCTACTTAGCCAGGCACCCTCCACCTGACTTGAATGCCCTACGTGTTTCCAGACTTCCCGAGTATGGAGAGATTCCTGCCTTCATTACTGGCAGGTCTGGATTTTCAGCCTGGCTCCTTCCACCAGCATCCTTGACTGGGGAGGTTTCTGTGGGATGTTCCAGCTCGGGTTGAGAAAATAGGTTTCCCTTCTCTGATGGCGGTGAAGTCCACCATAGTCCTCTCTTTGCACTGAGCTCCATTCTGTTGCCTTTTCATCTTGCTCTTGACTATTATGTGGGGAATCATTCAGTCAGTTTGGTTAGGATCTCAGGCATCTGCACCCTCTTGCATTATTTGGGCTGGGGAAAAGGGACAAGGAAGCTTGTTTCAAATGCATCATTTTGGAGACTGAGAAAAACTTATCTTTCCCGGTGGTAGAAGCGTAAACTCGCCAATGTCCCAATCCGGGCACGAACGGTGGGCATCTTCTAAGCCGAGTCGATTGACTGACTAAAAACCCCGCTATGTTGCATCTGCCTTGTCCTACATCACATAGCCCTGCCACAGCTTTGTTGGCATGATCAGAGCACCTTTGCCACCAGAGCCTTCTCCTTTCCTGCTCCCAGCACCTGATGTCACCTCCCTGCCTCTGCCCATCCTGATCGAAACCTCTTCTGAAAATACCTTTCTCTCCCGTTCACCTCTTGAGTTTCGCCCTCTCCTGCTCATTGATGCCCGTCATAGCTGGGCGCTCTGAGTTGTTTTGGGACAGGGGCGGTGGGAGAAGTGTTGTAGAGAAGTTGGGCTTGTTTTTCCGTGTGTAACCGGGGCTCTGGCTTGTTGTGCAGGTTATATTGTGGATTGGCTTGGGAATCCTGGTTATTAGCACATACACCACGTTGTCGGCAACAGAGGACCCTCCGGGAAAGATAGAGGTGCTGGAGCCAGCTGATCTGGACAAGGGACTTGATAACATCATTGCTGCCAAAATAGCAGGTATGCCTTCACTGCATGTTCCCCTGGTACTACCCTGCTACCAGAATGCCTTGTCCTCTTTATAGCTGCTCCTCGAGAGCCTGCATCTCCAGGGCATCCTGAGCGCACTGCCAGGAAAGGGTGCAGTGGCAGCTCTCTAGAAAACCTGCTGCACCCACACCAAGGACTTGGCTTTCCCAGTGTGAGGAATTAGGGACCAGCGGAGGGGGTGGCCGTGACCCTCCCTCTAGCGCCCGAGCTCGGGAACTGCACGAGCCTGGGCAATCAAAGACGCTCTGTGAGCCGGAGACTGGAGATAGCACTGTGCTTGGCCACCTGTATGAAGGGTACAAGGAGCCAAAACAGGGCTGCTTTCAATGTTTCTGCCAGTGTATTGTACAAGGTTTCAATAACAAGCCATTCATTGCACTCAAAGGTATGTAAATTTATGGGCGCCGACTTTCTTTCTTTCTTTTTTTTGGTGGCGAGGATATAAATTTGGAGCCAGTTTTAGCTCTGACAAAGCCCGTGATTATGCCTCGGCTTTGTTTACTGGTTCACGTTATTTATTATTTGTTTACTGGGGCCGTTGATAGAATTACGGCTCCGCGCTCCCTTCCCCAGCTGCACGGCAGCCTCGCAAGGCCATCGCGAGCAGGTGTCGCATGACCCTCCTGTGCCCCTCATCTGGGGCTTTGTCCTGGGGTTTGGATTTTATTTTTGTTTGGGTTTTTTTTTTTTTTTGTTCTTCGGGGCCTTGAAATTTCCTCCCAGTGATTGGAGAACGGAAGTGAAATGAGGGCAGCCTCTCTGCCGGAGATTAGACTCCCTCCGAGGCATTGGCTGGGTTCCTGCTGAACAGCTTGGAGCATCTCTGAGATGCTGGTGCAGCCTATGATAATGTTCTCTCCCAGGCCCCTCTGTCTCCAGCAGTGGTGGGGTTTGTATGTCCAGGCTGACGCCTTGTCCTGGGCACCTCTGAATGCTCCGTGAAAGGCATGCTTAGCCCCTGAATTGTAGGCTGGGAGGAAGGCTGCGATTTAATTCTGGGACTGCGGTGGAGTTTCAAAGCCGCACCAGCACAGAGAGCTGCTACAGACATGAGGAGGAAGCAGCCTTCTGACCGGCAGCATGGGCCGAAACTTGCTAACAGCCTCCTCTCTGCCCCGTCCCCACGCTAACTCGGGAGCTGGAGCAGGAAGCCTGTGTTCCATCATCATGCAGCACAGTGAATCCCTCACTGCCCTCCTACACGCACGCAAGATGCGTTTAGAGCTAGTTAGTCGGCATTAGCCCTTATCAGATGCTACTTGACGTTGGATTAAATAATCTTACCCTGGAGGAAGACGCTTCTTGTATTTTTATTTCTTAAACTTCCCTGGGGATGCGGTGTAGTGCTCCCGTGCATGCTAACAAGCGTGTTCACAGCAAAAGCTTGCGCTTCCTTCCCGCTCTGCCGGGGTTTGTTTCGTATTTGGCCAGTGAGAGGGAGGGAGGAGGCTGGCGCTGAATGCCGGGAGATGCCTTTCCCTGGGAAGTGGAGTTAGGTGCTTTTTAGAGCTGACTTTGAAGCCTCGTCCGGTGGGAGGAGATGGGCTTGGGGAGAGGAAACAGAACAATGAGCTCCAGCCGCAGAGCGGGCTCGGGGCCCCATTGTACGCAGCCTACCCACCTGCTGCCCCTGAGAATTGCGTGTGCCCAGCAGTGTGGCCGGTCCCGCCTGTTGCTGTGCCCCTGCGGAGCTCCACCAGGCTTGGGACTCACGTCTCCCTGGGACGCGGCATCGGGTGGTAACGAATTGCCCTGCATTAATCGACACCCCCCCTTGCTCCCCCTTTCTGCCCTGGCTTGTTCTGGAAAGAGGGGGGCTAGCCTGTGGCCCGCAACCTCCTCAGCAGCTGCATCCTGTCATTCAAAGCGTGTGCGGGACTCGGGACGTCCCTGCTCTCACCTGGGCACCCTCCACTGGCTCACATCTGGTTCTTATTTCTTGCACAAGTCTTTAGTAGAAACACATGGCTGGTCCGCAGGCCACATGCAGTTTGTTTTTAGCATGTTCTTGATTCTTTTTCCACCTCTCTTCCCCCCCCCGCCCCTCATGCCCCCCCCTTAATTGATGGGTTGCCTCGTTGAGGCAGACCTCGGAGCTGGGCTGTGCCTTTTACCATTTTGTGTTCACCGTCTGACTTTTGCCTGTCAGCATGTGAGAGGAGTTTTATTGGTCTCTTTGATGTTGCGGAGACCAGAACTGTACAGACTTTCATTAAAACCCTGCCCTGTGGGCCCTGAGATTATGAATATTAGAACATTGCCCTTTTATGTGAACACGTATTGACCAGCGAACTCTGAATAGTGTTTTTACTAACGACACCCAAGTGCCCATTACGGCCCCTGCCTGTATTGCTTGAGGTTTACTGTCAGCGGCTCTTTGGGAAGGTATAAAACCCCTTTCAGAAATGTTCTGCTATTACATACAGTGTGTATGTATGTTAAAAGGTTGCTAAGCTGCCTGTGAAAGCTCATGAAGGCAATTATCCATTTAAAAAAAAAGCTAATTAGGCAATTTCTCTCCGTATTTGAAAGCACCCCAGAGGGTCTCATGGGGAGGATTAAGATTTTGTAATATTTTTCAGCTCCTTTACTTGATCATTGCTGCTTCATTTTCTTCTTTCGTTGTGCAATATCTTGTAACAAAGGCCTGATTCATGCTCTTTATGCAACAGTGCCCTTTCCCCAGCAGTCCTAGAAGCACGGCTGCTTGCGTTGGGGAAGAGGTATCCAAGAGACTGGGCCGCGGTCCTTACCCAGTTGGATTTGCTGTTTCACATTTCGCAGGACTTGGCTGGGACTTGGTTCGCTGGACGCAGCACTGAGCTCTTTCGTTTGCTACCAACGCACGTGGGCCCTGAGCCTAGCGTCGCCTGGTCCCAGAACATTTGCTTTTCTCACGGATTCATTGCAATATCATGGCAGCTTGATTGGAAGAAACCTGCCCCATTGCTCTTCTCCCCACCAGCTGAGTGGGGTAAATTATTCCAGGGAGCAGCCCCCAAATGCGTGTGAAATGCATTTACTCCCTTCACTCCTAATAGCTATAGGAACAGCTTGATTTTGCTGTAGCTCTCCCTCGTGCTTTTAGAGAGAGAGCTTTTAATAGGGCTGGTGACACAGAAAAGGAGCTATCACCCTGTTGTAATTTGGGTTTGCTTTTACTGCTGGTGTGTCAGGAGACAACTGTGAACCAATTTCACTGCTGCCATTCGATAACCTTGTGAAATCTGTCACCATTTCGGGCAGGAGGGGTGGCATCGTTTTGCTGGCTGGAATGGCAGACATGCCCCTGATGCTGTCAGAGACGCGAGGGGGGTGCAGCTCCTGAGAGCGGATCTGGGCTGGGCTGGACCCAGGGCCCCTGCTGGTCTTGAAGGGCCCCATTCAGCAGGGCTGTGCACCCTTAGGTTCTCTTCATGTCAGTAGGGCTCTGGGGTGCTCGGTATTCAAGAGCCTGGACCCAAGACCGCCCCACTCCATGTTCTGAGCCGTGCAGCTGTGATGTGTTTCTTTTCTCAGTTGCTTCCTTAGCAGGAGTCCCCTTTTTTTTTGTAGGCCTTCCAGGCAGGTGACCCCAGTCCTGTGCCACACTGCCAAGAACAAAGATAATCCCCTTGAGGTTGCCCTTCCCCAGCTGTGCCAGGAGATGGGTTGTGTTTCCAGGGGAGTCAAGTGTCAGCGTTGATTGACAGCACTTAGCAGCCTGCCATGCATTTGGCGTCGTGTAGTGCAGGGGTGGCCAAGTGCGTGCCACAAGTGGCACAGGCAGCCTCTGTAGGTGGCATGTGGCAGATCGGGTTGGGGGGGAGGCAGCACAGCAGCAGATGGGGCAGGGAGCAAAAAGAGCAGCAGATTGGGTAGGGAGCACTGGGGCCAAGAGCAGAAAGCAGAGAAGCACATCAGGTAGGGAGCACGGGGTGGGGAGAAGAAAGCAGGGTAGTAGATCAGGCAGGGGAAGGCAGTCCAAGTGGCATCCCAGGAGGTTGCAGTGAGAATTAGCTTGTCCTTTGCAGAGGTGGTGGCTCTGAGGTCTCTCTAGCCCTTGGCAAGGCTGAGGTGGTGCCTGCCATGGACATGGAATAGCTCGGGGTCTACCGTGGTACAAGGACCCCCCCCACCAAAATATATTTTCTTCCCTCGCTAAAACCTCCCGAGGGCCCCGTGCCCCGCCTGTGCTTCCCAGGGCACGTCTGGTCCTGTTTACACCCCTTCCCCTTCCGAGTGGGTACAAAGAGGCTCTGGAGGGGTCTGCTGCATCAATGGGGGGTTTTGAGCCATGGTCCTTAACATGGTGGACAAGAGCGATATGAAAACCACGTGAAGGGTAATTTAATGTCTTTCTGGGACCGTTGCTCCTCTCCCATCCAGAAGCTGTGGGGGAGGGAAGGCTTTTAAGATTGCTAATCATGAGAGTTTATTGCAGCCTAGAGAGATTGTTGGCAAACCACTTAAAATAAGATTCAGAAAGCTTGGATTTCCCCCTCCTCGCCCATGGACGACCGTAGACAGGAGCCGCCAAAGAGCATTGCTAGCTGGGGTGGTTCTGGACGACCAGCAAGCCTCCGAGGTCTGGACTTCCTCACAAGGCAAAGAAAGCCCTCTTTGCTGTCGAATGCCGAGATTTTTGTTGTTGTTGTAAGCCAAGAAGCTTTTATAGCCTCTCAGCCTCTGCCTGTAAAGTCCAACGCCACTCATAAAACATTAAGAGGCACAGCATTACTGTAACATTATCCAAAGGGACCTGAAGGGCGACTAGACAGTTACAGTGATTATTACACATCCTGAGCAAAATTGTTCTCTACAAACCGCATATAGCTCCTTGCAGATTTCCATGCAGCGTGAGAGGCCATTAATTCACGCCCTGATGATGAACTTAATTTTGTTTCCTGCTGAGAAAATGACGGCTCAGAGGCAACTTTGTCTTATTACGGAGTGGAGATGGTATCTGGCGCGCGCAGGTTGTTGTGCCGCGTTGTGCTGCAGCACGCTAGCCATCTCTTGATTTACGACCAAACCTCGTTATGGCGCTGGGGCCTCCGCCAGCCATTTAATTGTATCCTGGAGACCTCAGTAGTTTCACCTGCCGCAGAGCGTCGGGCAGCCACAGGTTTATTCGAATAGGTCACTCGGCTAAACGGCCGCTGTGCTGCGTTTTTAACTGTTGCAGGACAGAAGAGTCGGTTTGGCTAAATTTTGCAGCTGCCAAACAATTAACCCTGGTGTTAATGATGTGGACCTGTGGGCAGCCGTGGGCTGTGGGCAATAACGTGTGTTTAGCTTTGTGGAGAGCGAGACGCTCTCCTCACCCCTTTCCTTCCTCCTTAAATGCAGTGAGGACTGAGGTGCATAGTTAGCAGTTCCCTCGAGCTGGCCGGGGGTGGGGCGGTAACGTTCAGAGGCACGAGTAAGGCTGATCTGGCTGGGAACAGCCTTGCTGCAGGGAGGGCAAGGCACTAGCAGCAGGCGAAGCTCATCGGCCCCCCAGACTTGGTTCAGGAACACTGGATTGTCTCGCCCTTATCCTCCGACCCGAGGGAGAAAGCCAGTTTTTTTGCAGGCTGTGGGGCCTGGCCATTGCCTTCAGGGGGTTCAGACCCCTCCAGTTTCACAGGCAGCCTGAGCTCTGACAAGTGGAAATGCCTGGCCCAGCTCCTGCTGTTGCTTCAGTTTCCCATTCTCCCCATGGGGCTGACTTGGCCAAGGATCCTGGGAAACGGAGCGCTTCTCGGAGCTCAGCTCGATGGCAGCAAGGCCGGGTTTCCCGTGCACAGCTCCATCTATTTCACAACCGGCGCGAGGCCCCCGCACAGGTCAGAGAGTGGCAAGTTTTTGCGTCCCACGAATGGCCCTTCGAAGAAATTGCACCAGTTCTGTTGGGTCAAGGGGTGGGGGCCGGTGATGAGACTAAACAATATTAATGGAGTGAATTCCCCCCAAAAGGGGGGAGAGAAAGGGGAAGAGGATTTTTTTGGGGGGGGAGAATACGTTTCACAGAGTTCAGATTCCCTTCTCTCTCCCTCGCTTCTGCAGCATGGACACTCTGCCTTCTGGTTTTAGAGGGCTGTAAGGGGTTTTTGGGCCCGTTAGCTCACGTAGGCGGGACCGTTGGATGACCTTCTGTATGACACAGGCTGTGGAATCCCACCTAGTAACTTTGGTATCAAGCCCAAGAATGTGCTTGACAGATGCAGCTCCCAGGAAAGCATCTGGTCGCCAAATAAGAGGCCCAAAGATGGGGACTTCACCATTGCCTGTGAGGTGGCTGGTTCCAGAGATGCGTTGCCCTTGCTGAAGGCTGCCTTAGCTAGGGTCTGGCAGCTCCCTCACCCTTCCCATCAGGCTCGTGATGGCAGTTGCAGCAAATGAAAAGCAAACCCAAGGAGCTTCCCTGGGCATCTCTGCTACCCGTAGCCTGGCTGGCAGCCACAGGCAAAAAGGGAAAGCGGCACGTGACCTCCACAGGCCCCCGGCAGGTCTGTGGGACGTGGGTTTGGGCCCTGCATGAGAAGGCAGCCAGTTTTCCCAGCCTTTTCCTGTATCAGCCTCAGAGGAAAGAGCAAGGCCGAGGCTGCCATCTGGCGGCAGCAGCTTGTGGTAGCTTGTGCCTTCTACCCAAGGTGGGGAATCAGGGAGATGCTGGCTGGTTTTTGGGACAGGCACGCGGGGAGGGTTGGGTGGGGAAGCTAAAGACACTTGTCTGAGCAGAAAGCTCAGAGCTGAGATAGGAAGGGCCTGGCTGCCTGGGGTGGAGAGATGGTGCCATCCTAGGTCCTCTCATTTCACTCACGGCACTGTGCTTACAGACCAGGACCCGGTGGCAGAGGGGGCAGAGGACGACCGCGACAAGCCCAAACTGCCAGATGAGAAGGACGAGATGGAGCAGCCACAGATCAAGGTGCCCATGGATGTGCCCGAGAGGAATGAGGCAGGAGAGAAGCAGGAGGAGAAAGTGCAGCTTGACCGGCCTGATCAAGGTACTGTCAGGACATGGCAGGTGGCTGGGGAAGAGGTGGGAGCCTGGGGTTGTGGGGCCACAGTTTGACACAGGCTAAAGAGTGTTATCCTGGGGGAAAGATCATAGTCCAGGCTCTCTCCCCTGCCCTTCCTGGGACCCAGATCCCTTGCCTAATGCTTCCTGGAAGTTGCCAGCTCCAGGGCAGACAGCAGTCTCTGGGAGCAGGGTGCACAGCTGTTCACATGGGTATTCAGCAAGCTGCCTGCCCCCTGACCTCCCCTCCTGGCCCCCTGCACAGGGATTGCTCTTCCTGTGGGGGAGGCCCACCGCCACGAGCCGCCTGTGCCACACGATGAGGTGGTGGTTGACGAGCGGCGGGAGCGGGAGGACTCAGAGGAGAACAAAGTTCCCCAGGAAGGAGCCCAGGAGAACCTACTGCAGCTGGCCGCGGGCAAGGAGCTGGCTAGACCCGCGCAGCTGGATCCTGAGAAACAGGAGCTGCACCCAGACCAGGGTGGGGCCCCGAAGCAGCCCCGGGGTAAGTTTGACAGCCCCGTCGAGGACATGGGGGATGCCCCAGAGATGCAGGCCCCGCGGCAGAACGGCCATCCACCCTATAAAGACCTGGAGCCACGTGAAGCCAAAGTGCCAGCTGCTGCCCAGCCAGGGGATGGAGAGCCTGCGGAGGCTGTGGGAGGTGATGGTCTGAAGCCCCAACTGCCTGGGAACGAGGAGGAGGTTGTGAAGCCCGCAGAGAAGGAGGCTGATCCAGGTGAGTCTCCTGCTCTGAGCTAGTGTCTCTTGGTGTGTGAGGGGAGCTACAGGTCCTGGCTACCTGCCTTTCAGCACTTCCTTTTAATTCTGCAAATATGCACAGTCCCTCCAGCAGCTGCTGGGGAGAGGGGAGGGGTCTGGGTGCTTTGACAGCTTTGATGCTGTCTGTCGGGCCCTTGTTTGTGGGTCTGCTCAATGTCAGACACTGGGCTGTCCTCCTGCATCTTGAAACTCGCTGGGGATTTCGAGCTGAGAGATCTTGACAGGTAACACGTTGCGAAGCACCCATCTAGAAGCAGCTAGGACCATTGTTGCCTGTTAATTGGCTGAGGTTGTTAGCGTTGGCTCACTGCCACCAGGCTTTTGGATAGTTAAATAAAAATTTGTTTACAGCTTCCCTCACCATCATTGGGTGGATATATAAACCATGCTGGCTGGTGGGGGGAGAGGGGCTGCAGAGCAGCGGCTTCCCCAGCTAACGGGCTTGTGGGTCTGTGTGTCCGCAGGGGAAAGGCAGGAACTGCCTCCACCAGGCAGGCCGGACCCAGTGCTGGCGCAGCTACCTGAGCAGCATGAGAGCCGCAACGCTGAGGAGCAGCACCCGGAGGGTGTTGGCAGCAAGATGGAGGGTGAGTGCCTCTGCCTCCGAGTCTGTGTGTGTGTGGGAGGGAGGTGGGAGAGGGCTTGGGGTCTGGCTGTGGTGCTGGGACTCTGACGCACAGTGCCCAGCATGGACTTCTGGGGAGGCAAAGGTTGAGCCAGCTTGCTCTGGGGAGCACGTCGCTCTCAACCAGA